TCCCAGCTACTCAGGAGGCTGAGGCAGGAGAATTGCCTGAACCCAGGAGGCGGAGGTTGTGGTGAGACGAGATCTCGCCATTGCACTCCAGCCTGGGTAACAAGAGTGAAACTCCATCTCAAAAAAAAAATAAAATAAAATAAAATAAAATTATTATTTGCTTAGTGAAATTTGGAAGTGGATTTGTTATATAATTGTGACACAGGATTTTTCTCAGCCACTTTGCCAACCAGAGACCTGCACAGCCAGCAATGCCCCCCTCCAACATCTGCCCAGGCCTGCTGCTGGAGGTACCGTGCCCACTCAGCCCACCTGTGTTATAGCTTGTACTGTGTTTGGCGGTTCCTGAGCTCTTGTTCTGCTTCCAAGAAGAACAAGAATACGCTGATAATTAAAGGATGAGGATGGACAAAGAAGCATTTTACTGAGCAACAGGACAGCTCTCAGTGGAGAGGGGACTTGGGATGGTCCCCGACCCCATAGTCAGTTGGTTTCTCTCCCAGTGTGGCTGAGTCCAGGACTTTTATGGGCTCAGAATAGGGGAGTGCATACTGATTGGCTTATGAGTATTCAAAGAAAGACTAAAGCAAAGGCACCACTCAAAGATGGGCACAGCAATATAGAATTAGGAAAGGGTGAGTATATGCAAAATAGGTGAAGGGTGGAGATCAGAGGAAAGCCACCAGATAGGAAGATGGGTTCTCAATCTGGTCCATGGATTTGACTTGTAGCTTGGCTTTCAGGCTTTAAACTGCCTGGCTTGGAGGTGGAGTTTCACCAGGGACGACCCCCAATTGCCTAGGCATTTGTCTGCCTCCTGCCATTAACAGTTGCATTCTAGAATGTTGAAGACATTGCTCTTTAAAGGAATACTATGGTAAACACCTTTTTATTTTTAATTTAATTTAATTTATTTTATATTTTATTTTATTTTAGATGAAGTCTTGCTCCATTGCCGAGGCTGGAGCGCAGTAGTGCGATCTCAGCTTACTGCAACCTCCTGCTCCTGGGTTCAAGCAATTCTCCTGCCTCGGTCTCCTGAGTAGCTGAGATTACAGGGTCGCACCACCACAGCCGCCTAATTTTTGTATTTTTAGTAGAGATAGGGTTTCACCATGTTGGCCAGGCTGTTATCGAACTCTTGACCTCAAGTGATCCACTTGCCTCGGCCTCCCAAATTGCTGGGATTACTGGTGTGAACCACCACACCCAGCCTATGCCTTTTTTAAAATATAGGCTATCATCTCTCTATTTTTGTAAATGTGGACAGTATTTCTTCTAAAGACAAACATTAAGATGTTTTCTGGTTCAGGCTATAGTATTAAGCAATAATTCATCTTTGCTTGTGAACTAGATAACATTTTTCTATATATAAATATCTTGTGTATTTTAGTTGGGTTACTTTAAGAAAATAGATTCTTGTTTAGTTCACTAATTCTCAGAAGTGTGGTATCCCCAGCTAACAGCATCACCTGGGAACATACTAGAAATACACATTCTCAGGCCCCACCCCAGATCTGCTATTCAGAAACTCAAGGTAGAGCCCAGCAACCTGCGCCTTAAAAAGCCCTTTGGGTTCCACTGCATGCTAAAGTTTGATAACTACTGGTTCAGATAGTTTACATACAGTTACTAGAAATCTCGGCTTTTATCACTTGAGGACTGCATTTGGTTTATTTCCAAGTGGGTTAGGAACTGTGGCAGTTCTATAGATGAAAAGCTGATAGCATGGGCAGCCCCACAAGAGTTGCTTTCATTGTTTGTTTCCAGTGGTTGGGATATATATATATATATATATATATATATA